TTTCCTGACTGAACCCAGCACAAGTCGCTAGAATACTTGTCCTCTGTGTTCTGTTAGCACACTTGTCAAATAAAAAACCTTCTTTAAATCTTGCTGGAAGACTTGGTGGTGAAGTAATACCCCAGAAAATAAAACCAGGGGTTGGGTGCTCGATGCCTGGTCATAGGCATTTGAAAAGGGTTGGCAATAAGCACAGAGCCTGATCGGGTGTCTGGGGCAGGTGGTGTTCTGCCCACAGCTGGCGTCTCTCCGTGTTGGGAACACGGTAATACTGTGTTTGTCTCTCCCACACGCAGCACTTATTTTGGAGGAGATTGCAATAGACTGTCACAACAAGGAGACTGAGCAGAGGTTACTTCAAGAAGCTCACGACTTACACCTCTCCTCGCTCCAGTTAGCTAAAAAAGCCTTCGGGGAGTTCAACGTGCAAACAGCGAAACACTATGGCAACCTTGGGAGACTGTATCAGTCCATGAGGAAGTTTAAGGTAAGGTTACGTGGGTGGGAAGTCTTGACTTAACCTGCATGACATCTCTGGATCTCTCACAAGAAATGGTGACCTTCCCTGTCCGCAATTCTTAACCTCCTTCGGTAGTTTTGTGGGTGGAAACGTACGTTATCGTTCACCTCTCCAAAGCCTTGAGCGATGCCTTCGGAGCCGGCGTGATGGCCGCTTCAATGGCACAAAAGGTGATCCACTTAACTAAGAATTTGGAAAACTTGATTTGGTTTTGGCTTTCTTTCTGCCTTTCATACACTATTACAGACTGTTTAGCTGCTACGTAGCTACCTTTCTGTAAACCTTCCTTTTTTCACCTCTCTTCACGGTGTGGTGGGTGGTGCCTGACTGGCCTGTACGAATCTGATCCTCACAGGAAGCAGAAGAAATGCACATCAAGGCAATTCAGATTAAGGAGCAGCTTCTGGGTCAAGAGGATTACGAAGTGGCCCTGTCAGTGGGTCATCTAGCTTCTCTCTACAACTATGACATGAATCAGTATGACAACGCCGAAAAGCTTTATTTGAGATCCATAGCAATCGGTAGGTGACTCTGTGTGCAGCAGTACAGCAGTTGTAGTGCTACAGGGAGCACTCCGGAGCAGCCTATTGCAGTTTTTACTGCAGGGGTTCATGAGATGCAAGGTGTTTGGTTTGTGTGTGTTCAGTGTAAATACAGTGCTTTTTCTTGGACGTTCTCCTGGGGAGTGAACTCTGGAATTGTATCTTCAGTGCTGCACCAGAATTCACCCCTGAAAGCATCTGGAGAATAAGTTAAAATTAAAAGCCTGGATGCTGGTCTTGAGACTGTGTTTTGGAGCTGTGGCTGGAACCCGAGGGCGGGATGTAGTTAAGCTCTGAAACCAAGGGAAAACTGTTGTCCCCGCCAGCCCCACTGCCCTCCCGCTGAGTATTTCTACTGCCTGTTACCACGGGCAGTGAAGTTCCAGTTCCCAGTCCCGTGCACCTTTGGGCCACGCTGTAGCGCAGTTTTGAGACAGACAAAACGTGTGGCACGTTACTGAGGAATTCATGATTTTAAGGTAGAAAGCTGAAGGGGAACTGCACTGTTGCAGCTGAATTCAGAGTGAACTGGGGACACGCAGCGGCTGCCGCCTTTACACAACCGGTAGATTCCGTGCCGCAGGCTCTGGCACGGTTAGTGATCTGGTGGCAGCATCCCTGAGGACAAGTTACGGTCCCCTTAGGGGAGAATCCAACCGTCATGGGGCCTCTTGCATGTTGCTTGTGTCCTTGATTTACCGTAACAAACCCGTGACGATCTGCCGCAGCCAAAAGGGTTGGTGGTGTTGCCGGAAATGCCGTGAGAAATAAGATGCGGCGTTGCGTGGATGCGTTTTAATTTTGTGTTCTCTTGGGTTCCTTTAGGAAAGAAGCTTTTTGGTGAAGGATACAGTGGACTTGAGTATGATTACAGAGGTCTCATTAAACTGTACAATTCCATTGGCAATTATGAGAAAGTTTTTGAATACCACAATATTTTGGCCAATTGGAACCGGTTGCGGGATCGGCAGTTCTCCGTTACGGATGCTCTGGAGGACGTAAGCACCAGCCCTCAATCCACTGAAGAAGTGGTCCAGTCGTTTCTGATGTCTCAGAGCGCTGACGGACAGAGTAGCTAAGAACTTGGTCAGTTAACCCGTTAAGGTTTTTCTCCCCCAGGTTACAGGGGGAAAAGTCATACTGTGAAATCTATACCATGTAGTTCTCTGGGGGCTGGAATTTGCATTGAAACACTGGTCCAGTCTGCTGAAGAGTGCCCATACGGATGGATGTGTGTTAAATTCCTCTCGGCATGTGTACGGCATGTTTAGCTCGGCTCACGTTTTTAACTTGGTATTCCCGAAAACCCTGACTTTTCTCTCTTCTTTCAAAAGAAGCTACTTTGCAGAAAGTCTGCAAGAAAACATTAAATAAAACTGTTTGAGTTCAAAAGAGTTGCATTCTTATTACGAATGGAAGGTTTCCTCAGGAGCTCCCTTCCAACGTACAGGAAGGAGGAGGAGTTGCCAGGGAGATCTCCGCTGTACGCATCGTAGCGGTTGAGCGTAGCTGTGGAGGAGAGGGAGAGCGCCCTAGCCTCGCCCGCCGCCGTAGGAAGGAAAGAGAACCGCTGCGGGGAGCAAGGTGCTCGCTGTGAAGTTCGTAACCACCGTACGTTGTCTTTAACATCCTGAACTGGACCAGTGTTGTCTGTAAGGGACAGAAGATCCGGTAGACCAGCAACCTTAGTTTTCTTGGGTACCAGCTGAGAGTGCTCATCTCCTGAGCAGGACCAGGAAAATGGGAAGTGGACCAGCCTGCTAGAAACAGTTTTTGGACCAGTGGCTTTAATTTAATATTTCTGCCCCTGCATTCACTGTCTTTAACATCCTGAACTGGACCAGTGTTGTCTGTAAGGGACAGAAGATCCGGTAGACCAGCAACCTTAGTTTTCTTGGGTACCAGCTGAGAGTGCTCATCTCCTGAGCAGGACCAGGAAAATGGGAAGTGGACCAGCCTGCTAGAAACAGTTTTTGGACCAGTGGCTTTAATTTAATATTTCTGCCCCTGCATTCACTTCTACAGTAGAATGATTTCATTTAGGTGTATGATCAGTGCAAAATTATATTCATGTAATAGATACAGAACTAGGGCGTGAACGTTCTTTAGCGGTTGCGATGGCATGTCTTTACCTAGTGAGCTTGTACCAATATTAATGTCGATGCCACAGGCAAAAGCTAGAAATGCTTAACTGTTTGCTGCGGCCACCTCTCTTCTCACTTCGTTTTTTCCGCTGTCAGTGGGCTTACTCGAGTCGCGAGGCCGTAACTCGGTTATACCGGTCGATGGTTTTGTATTCCAGTCCGGTTCAATTTTCTGTTGCTGGAGAACACAACTTCCTGTGCGGTTTGCAGGGGTCAGCGGAAAAATGCCAAAAAGCACAACAGGTCTTTTTTTGTGATGCTTCGTTTCTACATTAAACCATAGTACAACCAGAAACGGATTCCTTTACGTTAATTTGAAAAGCAGAAGTCAGCTTAAAGATCCTTCACTAATGCCTCTCTCACTGGCTTGTCTTAATTCCTCTTCGGGGGGCTGCTCGGTTGTGTGGGGGTGGGTTGGTTGGTTTTCAGCCGTTGAGGTGATGCTCGTTTGAAAGTGTGTGACGGAGACACAACTCACTGCTGTTACCTCAGTTCTTGCAGTGGCGCAAGCTGCTCCTGTGGTTCGGATTCTGTCAGGTTTGGGTTTTCTCCCTTCCCCCCTGTTTTCAGGGGTTGGTCACTCGGCTGCGGAAGGTCCGTCCCAGCTGAGGCTCAGCAAGCTCGGTGCCTCCGGGGCCGGGGTGGGCCGTTTGGTCTGGGGCCTGGGTTTGGATTTTGTGTAGAAAAAAAAAGAACGCGCGGACGGGCCTCAGGAGAGAGTGCCAACGGGAACTCGGACTGCGGGTGCAGCCTAAAAGAGCCATGGAGCTCCAAGAACTGAACTGTACGGTTCCCATGTGGTTCCCATAGCGGTGCCTTCAGGTGTGGTTTTGGGGGAAAGGCTGAATCACACCAAGTTTAAAATGCAGTTAGTTAGGTAGTTAGCAAATGCCGATTTAATGATTGCGTCCTGGGAATATCTTCACGGACACGGAAAGAACTGTCTGCATGGAAAAAACCCTGTGGTATTAAGGACTTAGACCGCAAAGTATCCTCAGCGGCCGTTAGTCCTTAATACCACATCCATGAAAATCCAGCCTAAAATCATGTCTGGATTTCAAAATCGAACTTTGTAGCCATTTTTTTGTTGGACAGCTTTAGGGAGTGCAGACAGACTGAGCTGCCCGCAAGGCGGGACGGTTCTGGGCCTGAATACCGCCGGGCACTGACCAACTGCACCCTTCCTGCGAGTTCTTTCCTGAAGCCCTGTTGAGCCTCTTTAACGTGAACAGGGGGTGCGGTGCCGGTGTCGGAACTCGGGCGGGGGGGTGTGCCGACGCCTGGCCTAAAGACCACGCGTAGTATCTGCGCTGCAGAAGTTGTTAAAAGCTTCAGACTGGGTAGGTGGAGTTACACTTTGGAGACGGGTGCCTTGCTCAGGGTTTCCAGCCTTGGGTCTGTTTCCAGCCGTTGCCTAAGGTGTTGTGTTTGGGGTGAGG